GTACGGCAAGGAAAAGTGTAAGGTTCCACGCCCCGTCTTGATCACCAAGCATTCCGTAATGAAGTGCTCTGGACCGGGTCTGGAGGTTTGAGTCATCTCCTCCAAGGACTGGAAGTCAGGAAGCGGCTGTGTTCAGTGCTGTACAGTGCTCACATATCCTGTGTCCCACGACTGCACCACAACCGCGCCGCAAGCGAGCGAGCGAACGGTATCCCGGGACGCGGAAGGTGGAAGACAGATAGATCGGGGATAGTGGAACAGGCAGGCCGGAGGAGGGATTGGACCCTGCGTCGGACCCCATACCTACATGCCTAGTGGTAGCGTTGTCGGTGACAGCATTTGAGACGGCACGGCATGGAGACATGGATTGTACGACCTGGTGTTTGTTGTCCACCGCCTACAAGTATACCGCACGCCTCGAGGCCGCTTGATCCATGCCGTGGCTAACTCCGTTCCGGTAGGCGGCCTTAACGACCTACAGTAATCATATTGGTATTGCCATGTGGAATGCCTGGGTAATGTCAAGAAGACTGGGGGAAAGGGAAACGGATTGAAGACGGGGAGGTTCAAGCCCGTTGCTAAAGGAAATGAACATCTAGTCTCTTTTCCGTTTCCCCAGGTCCCCTTTGCTTCCAACTTCCATCACACAACTTCCAGGGCACTCACATATGCAAAGCACCAGGTTGGTAAACTAAATATGCATGTCTAAAAAACGCCGTGTTTGAAACAAGCGTGTTAGGTTGCCGATGATTGCCGTTCTCAATGCAGGTTCATCGGATCGACTGGTCTGTTTCGGGCGCCGGTTGACGATCGACTGTTTAAATTCAAGACAGGCACGGGCTGGTGGTTAGGGATATATCCTTGCGACTTCCCGCTATTTATTTTCCCCCAGCTTCACGGAAGTGTGTTCACATTGAGCAGTGGATGAAAGTGGATGGGGTGGCTTGTTGAGGTTCTTATCGGATGCTCGGTTTTCGGTTCGTTATGCGTTGCCAAAGTCCTACATGTATTTCCAGATAACTTGAAGAACCTGCGTAGATAGAGGTAAGTATACACGAGCTGCAGGCTTGCAGTCGTGGTGTTCGGCATGAAGCATGGCATGGGCGCAATGTCCACGAGAACTGCAAACAGGGTCCATATCGTAACCACACACCCCGCAGTTCTTCTTTTCATCGGATCTTGGTACTTACCGCTCCAGAGGCGTCCGTTTACCGATTTCGATTTCCGATGAGGCCGGACTTTTGGCCTGGCCTGGCCTGAAAATGTGGCCTGAATGGCTGGGTTGGGTTGTGTTCCTTGGGTTGGGTCAGGTTCGAAGTGGCCAGACCAGATTGGGTCCGTAGGGCCATAGAGCGCAGTTCTAAGGTCAAGCCATCATCATGCATCCGACTTCCGACCCCCAATTGACTTCCCAATACGACGGCCGGCTTTTAGGTCTTTTTTAGAGTTCTTCTAATGTGGCCCTGATTTTGGGCTGGTAAGCTCGGCATAAGGATTCGAAATGGGGTGGGCTTTTGGACCTTTTCGAGTTCTGTGCCGCATGGATCCGAGGTGGATGGATGCGACTGCAGATAAGTGACGTCGTTGGGGTTGTCGTTAGGCCGGAGCGAGTTGATTATCCTGGTTTTGGTTCCGATGCCTTGGGGGAACATCTTTTCTGGTTCCTAGGTCTTATACGTGCCGAAAACGATGAGGTTCTGTAGAGTCGGGAGAGGCACAATGTGGATCTCAAGCTCTGAACTGCGTTTTGACATGTGAAACCGCCTCCTCGGTGTCTTCGTCGCAGGAGGAAAAGGGATACAATGGAAGTCTTTCGAGCGCTCACGAGATGCATCAAACAGAACTGTCCGATATTCCCATCTAGGAATGCCGTTGAACCGGGATCTCTCCACGTCCATTTCCCAGCGTCATGAGAGCATGTACACTAATCCCACAACAAACCCAAAACTCTAGTGCCAGCCGATGTTTGTCCTAGCCCCCCCCCCCCCCCCCAGCACAAAAGTCTAGGCAATGTCATGCACTGAGATGTGCCGTGATCGCATGGAATGGCGCATCCGCATGGCGCCGGGCGCGCGGCTGGCGCGGTCAGTCACATGAGTCGGGATGAACTGCTTGGAGGTTTGTCCGAACTGTTGGAGACAGCCGGGCGGGGGCTAACAGCGGGCTAGCTGGACTCTGATTGATGCCCCTCATTGATGCTACCGAGGGGTAAGCAGAACATCTGTTAGTGTTAACGATATGCCCCTCGCTGCCCTATCGTTGGGCCAAATTAGCGCTAAAATCAGGATTTAGCACTGCCCCAATCAATACCTTAAGATTCCCACTGCCCCTCTTTGGGGTTTTGTTCCATCAGACACGAGTTCGTCCCGTTCGACATCCAGATCTGCGCCCCGCGATCCGGCGGTTTCCAAGGTCGAGATTGATGAGAATGACGATAGAGACGGATCATCCATTCTTGAAAATGCAACGGTGCTATGTGTCTACCAAGCGTTGGGCTTTGCCGGGTTGGCCGCCTGTGGCATGCCATGAGGGGAATCCCGAAAAAAGGCCAGCTCTAGTCCATGTCCAGAACCAAGATGTGATTGATAACACCACGTGAGATCTCACATCCATCCGCCGAGAAAGCGATTCGTGATCTCTTGAAATGCACATCACCAAAATCGGTTACAGCCTCGAGCCAGGGAGGGGCGTGTGCAGTTCTTTTTTGAGATTTTTCGACGAATTAGTGGAATGCACTGTATGGAACCGTACCGATCGAAGAGGAGGCTCAGCTTTTCAAACTTGTCATGAGGCTTCATTCCTTTCTCTCAGGCTCGCTGTCGCTTTCGAAGGAGGGGCATTGGGCTGGAGGGTCGTTCGGCTCAGGCGTGAGATTGGGTTGGAAGAATATGTCATTGTGCTGATTTGTATGTCTGCTTCGCCATCATCGGGTTTTTGAAGCGAATGCCAAATGTGAAGAGCAAAAGGCTTGTGGGATGATTCCAGAGCGGTTTATGGAAAAGTGAGTGATCATTGGAATGAGGTTGTGTCCCGGTAAGACCGATGATGCGTAGAGGATTACGAACTGTTGTTTGTGCATCGGAAGATGTCCCCGGGCACGAGAGAAGCCGGAAGCTCGGCAGTGAGCATTTGAGAATTGGAATAGCCTTGGGGTAAAGTTGGGAAAACAAAACCATAACAACCAAAACAACCGGAGTGCTGAGGAGAATACCTATTAACTCCAAGGTGGGTTGTTCGGAAGTAGAATGGCGTGAGAATATGGAAGGAGGGAAAACATATGAGGAACCAAAAAGGGGTGAAGATGGGAAAGTAAACAAACCCGAAGATGACAAGAAGAAAAAAAAGCAAAAAAAAGAAATGCTAATTAGCTGCAACTCGTTTCGATCGAGTGACCTCCGGGTTATGAGCCCGGCGCGCTTCCGCTGCGCCATGCAGCTTTGAATGGTTGAAAGTTTTACACCAAGTATGGGCTTATGAGGTGGATAGGAGTGAGTGGAGTTGTGGGGGGCCATGTGCAGAGAGGCAAGGGCGCAACCTGGAAACCAGAAAAATGCGTCCCAAGCTGAGCGTTGACTTAGACTTCCAAAAGTGTTTGATTATGGATGCAAATCTCTGACTGTTTTAGATTACCATTGTTTTGGTCGCTTCCATTGTTTTGGTCGCTTTGTTCGCCAAGTTGAATATGAAGAGGTGCATGTCTGGTGCGGATCGTGACAGACCGTGGCACACATGCCGACATCAGGGGTCCTAAGCAAGGTTTGAAGTATGTCACTGATTGAAGTTATAGGAAGGAGGATCGTCATAAAATCAGTCTCATGGATCCACTCAAACATCCAATAACTCTGTCCTCCTCATCTTGTTCCTGCGTCATGGCGCCTATGTTGTAGATACCTCTATGCTTTCCGCGCACACGAGCAGAGACCATAAGGTATTCTACTTTACCAGCTGGGTCTTTCCCAATTTATTTACCAGGACGACATACAAGGACGAGATATCGTATATACCTAGGTACCTTACTTTTTAGGGCAAGCTCATGACTGTCGCCGAATAAATCGAGGCGTCAGTCGTCGTAGACATTGACCAGCTGCGAAGGCTTTCAGGGCCGGGCCGATAGTACAAAAGCCAGTCACTCCTCGACAACACCGCAAAAAACACATGGGATTAGGGAGAGTGGGTGCGGGTTCCGTCTGAATGAGCAGGAGCAATGCCCAAGAGAGTTTTGGCGATATATATCGTGTCTTGTGAAATACGCATCGTCTTCTTTACGAAAGGTTGCTATCGCCTACCCAGTAGTTGAACCTGTAACCCTAACCCGCCACCATCGTAAGGGGTAGGACCGGACCATTGCCATATCACTTCCATATCAATTTTGGTCTCAACTCTTCGAAGATCTGAAAGATATCTGGTCCAATGTTGGGGCTACTCCTGTGACTTCTCTGTTTGCAGTCCCTACCCAGAACAAGGCTTCCACAGAGTTCGTCGCATCTTCCCCGGAGGTCACGGACACGTTCATCTGGTCCACACCAACGAGTCAAGGTTCATCTGTTGTTCATGCGCGAACAGGTGGGATCCCGGGTTCCAAACTCCAACAATCATCTAGGCTCAAGTTTGTGGCCTCGTGTTTTCCACCTACTTCAAACGACTTGAAGCCAAGTCCTTTCCACCGTTCTCCTTCTGCTCACCAGTTGACCTTCGTCTAAACTCTTCCCAGCAACGTTGATCGACAGCTTGCTCGTCGCTTGCTGCTGGCAAACGATCACGGCCAGTTGAGGTCCTGAGGTGGCTTGGCGCTTTCATCTGAACCTCATCCAGAGCAAGCTGCTTGGGTAGCAGCAATTTCTCCAGAACCCCTCTTGATCCCGCTCTCAGCTCCCACCGCCGTTTCAATTGTTTCAAGGGAGCCAGCTACTTCTCCCCAACACCCAACCACCACCAACAACCGTTGGTGATCGCAAAGTGACGGGAGCCAACGCACACCAAAACCACCAAAGACCAGCAAGATGGCTGCAGTCGCGCCAGCCAATCTTTCCCAGAGGGGGGGTCGTAGACCCTCCTACCAATACTACAACAACCAGGAGAGCACTCTCCTGCCCGAGGTGCCCCTCCTCACCGGCACCGACAATTTTCGCCTCTGGGAAGTCGCCGTCCTCACTCACCTACGGCACTACAACCTCGACGACAACAACAGCGAGGCCCGCGACCGTTCATCCGCGGCCCGGAGGACGCGCGACGGCACCCTCTGTCTTTCGTGGGACGAGATGCAAAACCGCATCAAAGTCTACCAGATCATCCGGCGCAGCATCGCCGACGCGCTGACCTTTCTCGAGAGAGAGTGTCGCTCCAACCCTTGGATCTCGCTCAACGACCCGACTTACGACGCGAAGGGCCTCTACGAGCTTGTCAAGGCGGTGTTCACGGCCCGGCCTCCCCCGCTCGACCCACACCAGAGCCAAGACGACCTCATGATTGACCTGCTGATGCTCAAGGCCATTAACTTCGCCTCGCTCTCGGAATATCTGGACAGGTTCTATGCGCTGTGGTCGCGAATCAACATGGCTGGCCTCCAACTGACTGACGACCTCCTGCTGAGCTTTCTGTTGAGTGGGCTTAATGGGCACTACGACAGGGCTTGGACGGTGGACCTCGAGGTGCAGCGTCTGATGAAGAAGATCGACTTGCACGAGGCGCTCAAGTTGATTGGTGAGCGAGTTTGTGAGGAGAACATGGTTGTGTTGCCGCCGGTTCCGCCAAAGGACGAGAAGTACGCGAACAGATCCTCTGCTCAGAGTTCCTCCTCGACAGAGCATGGAGTGAACATGGACAAATCCGCAATGGATGAGTCTATCAGAGGTTGCTTCGGCCACGAGGACGAGGTTGAAGTCGATATCATGCGCAGACAGGAAGAGATAGCCACTCACCTCGAGGGTCGAACCCTTCAATGGGCCGTCGAAAGCGCCTTCGCCACCTCCTGGTCCCTCGATGACCTGAACCCCGTGTCAAGCGAGTACGACACCACCACCGAGAACGGCAGAAGCGAAAATGGTAGCCGAAGCGCAAGTCCCGCCGATAAGAAAGAGCGGCGACGCGGTTACAAACGTCTCTCCGACCTCATGGACCGGTACACTCCTCTTCCCTTGAGCGTCGCCAGCAGCCCCAGCACGATCGCGGCTACCATGGACGCCCTTCGTATTGACGACAGGTCTCAGCATGGTGACACCGAGCCGAGATACGTGCCGAGCCCGCCCCCAACCGACGAGTCTGCCGCTCGAAAGGAGCGCCGTCGTCACCTTCTCAGCAGATTCACAGACACGCCGACCAAGTCTTCGCCTGTCCCCAGCAGAGTGATGTCCTACCAAGAAGGTCGGAAACCGAAGCCTTTGTTCTCGAGCCCTCGCAAGTTCTCGTGGGAGGACGGGGTTAGCAACAGCGAGCACGACTACGAGTCGATGATGCTGCGCACTACGCCCGAGCCGCGCGCGAGAAGGGAACTCCCGGCCGCTCCTGGCACTGGTGAACCGGAGAAGCAGCAAAATGAGCGAGACAAGTATCGCCCATCGCCACGCAAGCGATCTTCTGCCTTTTCGCCGGAGAAGGTGGTGCAGATGACAGCGATTGCCATTCGCAACTTTTCGAGGCCGGAGAGGCCACTTATTAGGACAGCCAGTTTGTGAGCAAAGAGTCAAAGAGAGGGGAGGAGACTTGAGGGAAAGGGAAATGATTGCTACCGTATGTCTTTCTCACCTACAGCAACGAGATCCCGGAGAACAGGTTTGCTTCGTTTACCATGGACACTCGACCATGTCACAGCACGTCAGCACCAGTCCTTCTTCCCGAGTACTTCAACAGTCCACCTTTTCACACTAGCACTTTACAACCATTGCTCGGATATACAATTCTTGCTCTTTGAACAAACATGAAACTCGACGAGACCAGCCTGTCCCGACCAACAGAAGACGACCAGACATTGCGACAGGAGCCGGACAACAGACCACGCCAACAGAGATACAACGCCTTCTCAACCATGGAACAGCCAGCCAGCTCACTTCCAAACACTAGCACTCTCGACACCCCCTTTCTTCCCCTCCTGATACGTCTCACTCAACCCATTATACAAGCCCTTAATCCGCTCAATCTCCTTCTTCCACTTCTCCCGTTCCTTTTCCCTCTCAGTCTCTGGTACGATCCCGGCTGTCCCCTCCTCCAACAACTCAACCAAGCTCCTGCCGACAAAGAACTTATTCCGCCTATTATACAACGGCCTTTCCTTGAGGGTCGTCTCAGTATCCCCCGGCGCCTTTACCCGAAAAACTTCCTCCAAAATCTCCATATCGTACGGAATCGCAAACAAATCGCGCGAGTCCTCGTACGTGAACAGGTAATAAAACTCGTTGAAGCCGGCCCAGGTGATCCCGCTCAAGCAGAGCGAGCAGGGCTCGTGCGTGGCGAAGAAGATGGTGTCTTTTGTGGGGATGCGGTACACTTGGCCTTCTTCTTTTTCTTCTGCTTCTTCTGGGGTTGAGGCAGGTGGTAAAGAGAAATACTGCTGGATGCAGTTGATTTCACCATGCAACAAGGGGGATTCGCGTTCGTTGTTGGTGGATACCGTCAGAGGCTTCAGGGAAGAGCGGGAGAGGATGGCGGCGCCGAAGAGCTTGGAGCCAGAGGAGACGCCAGCGCGGGTAAGCGGGATTATGCGCTTTTCTGTGAGGCGGAGGATGGTGGAGAGAAGGGTGATGGGGTCTTTTATGATTGTGGTCGTTGTGGGTGCCCCGGAGGAAGAAGTGGTGGATGCCATTTTGAAGTTGAAGCGCCCCGAAGATTTGGAAGGTGCCCGAGGATTGAATGAAAGGACGGATAAGTCACTTAAAAACAGAACCAGTGAAACTGGGATAATATAGATAATGATAATGTATGACTTCAAAGACGAATGTTTCAGTGTTTATCGAATGCAGTGATGTTGAGGGAAGGCATGTCCTGTCTTCAGCTGACGGCGTGGACCGGTCTCCGGCTGTCCTCTTTATCGGATGGCGCCGAGATGCTAGAGGTGCATGCGTGTGCATCTTGATAACGGAGCGTGCAGCTTCATTGCAGACAACCGAGATCGGAAACGTCGGACATCCCGGTTAGCAAGTTGACCAAGGCTTCATTAACCTATTATTAGAATATTGATAGCTAGATTATGAAGCTAGCGGGTTGGCATTGCATAAGCGCTATATTGAATCGTAAACCGAGTTGTTGTTGATCGCTCTTTCCCTTGAGCGCAGCAAGCGTGCATCGACAGACGTCACTATGTCGGGATAGTGACTGCCAATTTTACTACATCTGTCGCTCAAGTGAAGTCTGAGATTATTGGAAGGTGCAAAGACTGCGCCGGTGTGGAGAAATTCAAGAGTGTCCCTTCCTTTCCGTAGACATTGACACGGAAGAGCAAGGAAGCCAGAGCCCTTGCCTGCCCCAGTACCTGTACCGCTTGACGGGAGCGTGGTAATTATCACGATGAGAGAGTTTCTATGCTGCCCAAAGATGTGTGCAAAGCGCGATAATGAGTATATATCGAAGGAGGCCGGCTCTTCTACCAAATCAAAAGCAAACCCAACACTCCCACCAACAAGTACCTCTAACTGACCGTGTCCTGTTTATACCTATCGCTTCTTCACCCACCAGACTCCGGGCAAAAGAGATCCAAAACTTGTCCATCAACACTACTGTCGTCGTCCAGAAAATCAGCCCTTACTGTCGTCGTCCAGAAAATACAGCCCTCCGAAAAAAAAAATAAAAAAAAAAAAAAAAAAAAAAATATTAGCACCACCCGAGTGACCCATCGCACAATTTCCTCCAAGGGTCCAGCCCATACGGTTTCCCATGTCGAAAATCCATCTTATGCGATATCTCCCTTCTTTCCCCCCTCACTCCGATCTATCGTTCATGTCGTATACGTCGCCCGTGTCAATCCTTCCTCGTCCCGGCAGCAGATGTACTAGCATCGTTTGTCCTTGTCTAAAAGTCCGGAATAACCGAAAGTATGACGTTACTAGGTCCGCCGAAGACTCGTGCTTCCCATTGTAGACGTGATGTACCGGTTCAATCGCTCATCGATGCTGGGTTTGTGAACCCCGTCACTACTCCTAGGGCTTGGCATTCGGAAAGTATTTTGAGCTGGCATCCCGGTGAGGGTTCTCCTGTTGTTGGCGGCTTGTGGGGTTACCCGGCAAGTTTGGAAACCCGTGGGTTTCGGCGGTGCATCAGAAGCGGAAGCGTCTCCTGGTCCAAAAGCTACCAAACTCCGTCGTCTCCGGCGGATAGGTTTGCCGTGGAAAGACGTACTCAAATATCCCGTCTCTTCGATGAGCGCGTGTGTCTCGGGCAACAATTCTCCTCGTGTGAGCTCGCAGAGATCACACAGAACGGGATATGGATGCCTATCGTTAGGCTCGACGCCCGCGGCGGTTCGGTCGGCAACCCTAACTATCAATTGCGCGAGGCAGAAGCCAAGGTGAAGACCCCTTTGACAAAAGCCTACTGGAAGGAGCTCGATCACCATGACGGGGTGGGCGCAGTAACCTGGGACGAAATGTTTTACTGGCGTGTAACACATCCTTCCTTGAGGTAGGTATGGAATGAGGGCTGCGAAGGCTGCTTAGCGGGTGGTGGATATGGTTGATTGGGCTTATATTTTGGGGCCAAGATATCAAGAGAAAATAGGGCCGTGATGAGTGTGATGATGAGAGATCGTGGGAACGATGTCCGGGGTCCTCATACCTAGTTATTTATATAGGGCAGTTTTCCCAGTGTCATCCATCACTGCAGGCGCGAACTGCCGTTGCTATCCCGACCGTGAGTAAGGGCAGTTCGTGATCGCGTGATGAGCGTGATTCTTTCATATCGTGAAAATGTCGTCGGGCCTGCCAACTCCGGGGGCACGATAGTATTCGTAGAGGTAGGTCTGCTGGAAAGTTCCTTTGAATGAGGACGCTGGTCCGGGCAGATATCCCCCAACATCTTCCGATAGTGTTTCCTTGCTCCCGCTCTTGACCGGAGAGCGACTGGTCACCGCTTGAAAGAGATTCCGCTATCAAACACTGCCGTCACTGCCCGTTTCCCGCGTTCGCAGGTCGTGAGTGCCTTCTGCCGTCATAACTTGTTGTTGGGGCGCTAATGATGCTGATATTCCAGTCTTTGAGTTGTAGCAGTATCTAACGACATAATAAACACCAACTCTAGGGATGTAAGAAGGCGGTTGCCGTGGGATTTGCGGGGTCTAAGAGCAGGAAAGTTAATTTTGTACCCCATGGAAACTAACACATATTTTCCTGGAAGGCGCAAGTGACCTAGTTAGGTATGTATATTAGGTTCAAGGGCCCTCTGATACCTACTCAGGCTGAGACTTTAACCTGTACCAAATAAGCCAACCTCATGTTGGTTATTGAAACAGTGGTCATGAGCAACACACCGGTGTTAAATGCTCTTAGGCGTGAGATCTTTCATCGATATCCTGTGCTGGCGCACTTTTCCACGGGAGATGAGGCCCAATATCTGGCTCTAGGCAAGCCAAGGTACGGGTTACTTATTCCGCGTTTTATCGCGGCTGGAGGAGCACCAGGCAGCGAGCGGTGGCCCGGGACGTGGATTTGTGTAACGACCGGTCCACTAACTTGAAGGAAAATGGCCTTCCCAGATTGCTTACAGTTACAAAGCAGATTGCGGTACTTGCTCAGCGTTGAGAGATCATGTGCATTGATTCATCAAATGTCGCCCGGGACTTGGTGTGACTGGGCAGCGTATGAGGTAGCTGTTGGTCCTAAAAGTGTATAGGATTCGACAGCGTGAAGTGCACCGCAGAAAGGCCGGATTGTGTTAATGTAGCCGGCAGGTTATGGTATTCCCAATTTACCATCGTTGTCCGCGATCAACCATTTGAGTGCGAAGGAAAGCTAGGGATGTGATCCATAGACCGCGAAAAGAACCCAAAGAAATGCCTAATCATCACGACGGAGAACTTACTGTCCTATAAGCGTGAGAGTTGGTGATGCGAGAAAACGGGGACCATCAGCACCTTGGAAGAGAGGCCCCGTCGATACTCGTGGGTTCGAGTATCACGATGACAAAGCAGATGCGGATCCTTGGGCATGGTGTTCATCCTGGATGAGTGTTTGGTATCGAACGAGGCGATTATCCTCGGCACTTTCTCGCAGTGTCCAATAGATTAATCCTCGTCTTCTTTTGCAAAAACGAAGCAAGAACGCCGTAAGGCTGTGCCTGTTCAGGCAGTAGAGCAGTAAGAGAAGCTCCTCTATCTCAACCAAAGGCGTTTCAGCCACTAAAGAAAGGCTTCTGATGCTGTGTTATTGCCAGAACGAACACGTCCTAATGATGAACGGGGAAGTTGCGGGTGTCCAGTTGCTGTTGTCGTTATCGCAGGGCCGGACTTGTCATCTTATCAAGGGCCGGGACCGGAGGCGGGACCCTTGACGGCCATGAGTGGACCCTAACCCGCTAAGTGGTGGCGTTCCTGCACTCTGCAGAGTCCGCAGCGATGGAGCTTTGCCGGGACAGGAAATTTCCTTCTAGACCCGTCGTAAAGCCAACATCCAGGTCGATATCCAATTATCGACGACTTTCTTACGGCATCATTGCGCCGTAGCGGACGGCCACCTTCATCGTCATGCACTACATTCGATTTTGTCGACCACCTGTGGTTTGAGCAGGGCAGTCAGGTCACAAAACACTGAAACTGGTTCTCACCATCACCACCGACCTGAGCGACAAATTTCTGTGCCCTCATGAGCCGATACAGCTTTCCATCATCGGAGCCGGCGCTCCACCAAACCCGCAGAGTGGCCCGGTGCCCATTATCTTGACACCAAAGATCCCCCCGACTTGGAGGGCCGGCATGCGCGTCTTGAAAGTCGATGTTCCACTCCCACCACAGCCAACGATCGAGACGGTCCAAGTCAGGCCAACAAGCCGACAGCTGACGGCCCTCATCACCGACGACATCACTACCGGCACCGGCACTGGGGACGGCCTGATTCTTCCTGTTTTCGCAGATCTCGCACCTGGCCCTAACAACCACATTTGTTTCCGAAGCTTGCGCTTGCCTGGCGGGACCGCGGCGCTTCAGGTGGAAGAGGAAATGGGCGAGAGCATGGCCCGTCATGTGTGGGATGGCGGCCTCACCACCGCTTGTTTTGTTGCCAACATGATCCTTGGCCAAACGGCGGCTCCCACAATCAGCAACAGTACCACTACTACCAAGGCGTCGTCGTTGCCCATGCTGGCAAACATTCTGCAACAAAATGATGGACCTCTAAACATTATGGAGCTAGGCTGCGGTGTGGGCATCTTGGGTCTCGGTGTTGCACGCATCCTGGGAATATCATCGCAAGCGACAGCAGAGAAATCGACCCTTCTCATGACCGATCTCCCAGACGCAGAAGAACGGACGCTGGCCAACATTGCCCGTTCGGCGGACCAAACCGCCTGCTCCGTGATGTACGAAAACCTGGATTGGGAAGACGGAAAGGATGGCATTTTCGGCCCCGAGGTGATGTCGCGGGCTTGGGACCTGGTGATTTTAAGCGACTGCACGTATAATGACCTGCTGCCCATCCTGGTCAAGACTCTTTCCGCTGTTCATGCTCATTCTGCTCAGCACTCCAGCCCTGCCAACACCAAGATCTTGCTCTCCACGAAACCAAGACACTCTGATGAAAGGGAGTTCTTTGACCTCATGTCGAAGGATGGATGGTCGATAGAGGAGGAAGTGAAGCTGCCGCTCCCTGTTCTGTATGATGAGGCGCAGACCGTTGAGGTCTACCTGTTCTCGAAGAGCTAAAGACACCACCTGCTGGCCCTGTGGGGCAAAGATGCTTTCACCACTTTCTGACAGGTTTTTGCCATAGCATGTCCTTGTTCCCATCAGTAGGTGTCTTTGTCAAAAAGCCTATGGTTCAGCCTGGACAATGTAGAGCTTCCACACAAAGATTTGTTCAAGCCGTATTCGACTAGGGCGCATATGCTTGAACGTGTAGTTAGTCCTGGAGGGAAAGCATGAGGCAGTCGTAAGAGGCATCTCCAACAGCTGGGCCAGTGATCTTGCTTCTCATGACGACCAGGCATCCAGCAATCGAGGTAGCTGAAGTGGATTGATGTTGGAAAACGACACGCACGGCAAAACTGCAGTCAAGACTCAAGGCGAGTGGGATGACCAATGTCGTTCCACAACCATGATGTTTACCAACGTCTCGAACCTTCTGGGCCGGCCTATGATGGAAGGGGGATCTCTGGGAACAGCATCAAGCACCAACAGAAGAAATGAATGGTCATCATGGTCATCACCGTGGTGTTTGGAGCCAATGGTGTTGGAGGTGGTTGTGGGAGCTTGTCATCTGTCGAGGAGTGGGCTGATCAGGGGCTACAAAACAAAGATGTGATGAGAAATACCTGCTCTCTGATTGGTCTACACCATGCGTCTTCCGCCAAATCCACCAATGAGACGCGAGAGAGATTGGAATGACCCTGAGCTGCGGCTCGTCTGCCCCAGACTGAGCCCATTGCGGCTCCGACAGGGCATTTTGGACCCCTGGTTTGGGTGTTCGATGGACCTTGACACAGCGGAAAACCCCACTGTCTCATCCAAAGCATCGTTGCTGCCAGCCCTGTCGCAAACAGTTGCAAGCCCAAGACAGGTCGTCTGTGACATCAGCCGATTTCAGATATAAGACTGGCCTCCTCCTTCAGCAGAGAAGCCTTTCACCTCTTGTCACCATCATCAAGATCTTCAATAGCATCCAGCAACTTTTCAGAAGCTCAACATCGCTCACGCTCAACTTACACCGGTACTACTCACCAACTTTAATACTACGAGTCAAGGATAGTCCCCCTACAACAAGTTTTGAACATCGATTTGCGCCGTGTCAAACCACCAAACAACTTCCATCACCACCACCACAACAAACACCAAAATCAACATGTCTGCTCCTGCTGCAAAGGCCTCCACTTGCTGCGGCAAGAGCGCTGAGTGCGTCTGTGGTAAGTCCATCCTTGAAAGCTCCTGAGGCTCTGGTGGTCACCAGTGCCGTTTCCCCTGTGCCCCTGATCTCCACTTGACTCCATCACGCTCCAATGGCTCCATCACACTCCATCGTCCGGCCCATCGATCTTTGCCCTACCGGGCGGACCCCCAACGCAAAATCCTTTTTCTCGCTCGCTTTTTGGAACGGAGAAGGCTCCATCTTTTGGCAAAGAGAAGATCACTGCCGCGCGTATCCGTCGCTGGCCCTTTTTCATGTTTGCCTTTTTCCCCACTGCTCCCACTTCAGGTTCCTGCAACCAAGCCCAGGGGTCCCGTTGTTGGATGCCATTCTTGACTTTTGCCATTTTTACAAAACAACTTTTTTTCTTGTTTCTTTTCTCTCTTTGGATAATCAACTAACGAACCCTACCTACCTACTTCAGCCAAGCAAGCCACTTGCTCTTGCGGCAAGCAGTCTGCTCTGCACTGCACCTGCGACAAGGCCAACTCGGAGAACGCTGTCGAGGGCCCTCGCTGCTCATGCCGTGCTCGCCCTGCCGGACAGTGCACCTGTGATCGTGCCTCGACCGAGAACCAGAAGCCCGCGGGCAACGCCTGCGCTTGCGGCACTCGTCCTGCCGGTAAGCACCTCCCTACCTCGAACAAACATGGCATGACGTGATGTAGAACATGATGACTAACCATGCATGTTTTGAACAGACGCTTGCACTTGCGAAAAGGCTGCCGATGGAGGCTTCAACCCGACAGAACTCGAGACCGACTTCACCACCAAGAACTAGACTCCGATTACAAGAGTACGCGCTACAGGGGACGCTGTGTTCCTGAGAGTGACACAGAGAGAGATCGGCAGCTCGACGAACTTTTCGCTTCTTTTCAACTATCCTTAAAATCATGATAACAGCACCATTAATACCGGCATTGAGCGGACCAACAATATCAGGAAACGTGGTGGGACTTGGAGGAGCCGGCATTGTCAGCGGATGGATAAGGGACGGAATGGTCGCCGGCCGCGACAACGACATCTACTGGACCGGCCAGACAACACGGGATAATGTCTCGAGGCACTACAACACAGCGGCTATCACGACTCCGATGGTTGACCATGCTTCGGTCGCAGGAGAAGCCGACGAGGAACGAGATGGGGATGGGAAGCCGGGCGATATGACTCCCTTGCTCAGCACCCCCAGCACCTTTCTTCGACTTGGAATCCCAACTCTCAGCGCCCGGGGCTCTCTCTTTCTCGGCTTCTTACAGCTCCTGTGGCAAGCCATTGTCACTTGGAGCATCCGTCACCGCATCAGGGCGATACTGTGGCTAATTGCCAAAGCGCCCTTCATCATCCTCGGCGACCTATGGATCAACTTATACGCCTTCGTGAACTACGACCCATTTGCAAACCGAGATTCATCTCATGCTTCTTCCCCAACCGGGGGACTCACCAAATTTCAAATCCTGTTTTGGGACTGGACAAAATGGCTCAGATGCGATGCGAAGCCGTGGCTGGTGTCGGTATGGGAGGATGTCAGGGGTGTTTTCACGCGAGGAACATCGTTCTTCAGCCGGAACACCAAGAAGAAGAGGAAGAAGTGGCGGATTCCTGGGCCGACGTTGCAGGGGATCGTGGCGGACACCAAGTCCCAGCTGGAGCGGGAAGAGGAGGAAAAGGCTGAATTGGAAAGGCGCAGGAAGGAACAGGAAGCTGCAGCAGCTGACAATGGCAACGGCGGAAGTAGTCGTCGGAAAGGAGGCCGTGGAAACGGTGGTAGAAAGCAAAAGAAATGGTAAATGCATATTTCTGAAAACTGTCGGTTCCCTCGTGAGCGTGAGGTCCTTGTGAGTCCTAGAACATGCTATTGCACTTGATGTCGTTTTTGGAAAAGTGAGCGGTGCTGCCAGTGATTGAAAGTAGATTTCATATGAGACATGTTGGTCAACTCTACGTCCTGCACAACAACAAGTGACATGTCTGACAGTGACGGTCACATTTCCGTTCATCGTCGTTTGTTCCAGAGGTCTGAGGACGAAGCTGGTGAGCATCGGGCGATTCCGCGCCGAGCTCGGACCACGCGTTGCAGAAAGTCGAGCTGCCAAGACCCATGTCAAGCGAGCAATCAAACGCGCGCGGAGGGCTTGACCGCCCGGCAGAAAGTATAGTCTCGGACATGGTTCAGGGGGAACAAGCAGATCACCAAGCATCGTCATGTCAAATGTCCCGTGTCTGCAGAAGCGGACAGGGACAGCGGTGCGTGGTACATTCTGGGGTACCTGAGCGACTACCGCAGACCGGGCGAAAATGCCTAGTACTTTTTTCATCCGAACATGGACGTCCACCTGCTCAATACATAGGTGCAGCGCTGTTGTGTGGATTATTCGAGTTGATGCAGGTGCACGGTCAATGATCAACAGCACAAAGAACACGTCTCGCAGGAATTCTTTCTTTATTGTTATCCAGCTGGTTGCTATTGCGATGCGTCACTTGGCGGGTACAGGCAGGGGGAGGTTTCGGTACGGACCCGTTGTTATAACCCAAATCCCAAACAAAATTTGAACATTCGGTTCGCTGGTGCTGGCGTTACCGTTGGACGGTGAGGTCAAAATTGAGTGAGGCGACGAGCTCTGTCGTGGGCTGACAAGTGACGAGGTGAGAGAGAGGGGAATGGTATTGAGAGAGCCTCACTCCTATTGTTCATTGAGGTTCGCGGGAACGGGCCCACTTCTCTCACCGCGGCCGACGTCAATAGCCAACTGAAAAGGAGAGTGCAGCTGCATCCAGTCGCGTCGATTTTTCTTTGCAACGCAAAGACCACCCACACACCCCCCTCGCTCGCTCAATAAGAAAGCCGCAACCAAATTCCTTTGCTCTCCGGTCTCCGCCATTTCACTTCCGTTTATTTGGCGCACCCCCCGTCAATAACAATCCAACCTTTTCCCCAATGCGACAGGGTAACCCTCACAACATCAACCTCCACTCTTTGCGCACCTCGACCTCTTTTCGCTATCGCACAAAATTAACAACGCGTCTTTACAAACAATTCAGCTTGTAACATCCTCGGTATCACCCAATTGTCCCCATTCCAGCTCTCAGTACTGCTCTTTGCACCTCGACAGCTCGGAATCATCAATCCTCGAAAAAACCACCCAACCACCACAAATCTCAGAATCACGTCACATCATGCCTCCCAAGAGAGCCGCCGCGACGCAGGCCGCGAAGGAAAACGCGCCTGCCGCCAAAACAACGACAAAGAAGTTGAAGACTACTACCACTGTCACCAAGAAGACGACCGCGAAGGTTGCTAAGAAGGACGACGACGAAGAGCCCAAGGCCGCGCCCAAAACCGCCGCTGCCAAGAAGGCTGCTGCTCCCAAGAAGGCTGCTGCTCCCAAGAAGGCCGCTGCTCCCAAAAAGGCTGCCGCGCCCAAGAAGGCTGCTGCCCCCAAGAAGGCCGCTGCCCCCAAGAAAGCTGCTGCGCCTAAGCAGACTGCTGCTGCTAAGAAGGCTGCCGCGAAGGCCGCTGAGGATTCCGACAAGGAGAACAGCGTCGCCGGCGCCAAGCGCAAGCGCGAGGAAGATGAGGAGGAAGAGGAGTCCGCCGATGAGAAGCAGGCCAACGGCACTCGCCCCCTCATAAAGAGGGCCAAGACCGACGAAGATGAAGCCCCGAAGCCCGCGCCCAAGAAGGCCAAGGCCGCACCGAAGCCCAAGCCGGAACCCAAGAAGAAGCCTTTGGGCAAGGTAATCAACGAGGCACCCACCCAGGTTATGGACATCTTTGTCTTTGGCGAGGGTACCTCTGGAGAGCTGGGTCTCGGCAGCATGAAGTACGATGGCAAGAAGCCCATTGACGTCAAGCGGCCCCGCATCAACCACAACCTCAGCGGCGTCGTCCAGGTCGCTTGCGGCGGCATGCACGTCGCTGCTCTCACCAAGGACAACAAGATTCTCACTTGGGGCGTCAACGACCAGGGCGCTCTCGGCCGCGACACGACTTGGGCAGGCGGTCTCCGTGATGCTGATGAGGAGTCCGACTCTGATGATGACGACGACACTGGCCTCAACCCCAAGGAGAGCACGCCCGGCGAGATTGACACCACGGACGTTCCCGAGGGTACCACGTGGGTTCAGGTTGTCGCCAGCGACAGCGCCACCTTCGCCTTGACCGCCACCGGTCATGTTTTCGGATGGGGTACTTTCAGGGTAAGTTGAATTTTTTTTTATTTTATTTTTTTTTGGGGGGGGGGGGCTTTGCGCCAGGTTAAATTCCATTTCAACGAGGCTAACCGATCCCCACAGTCCAACGAAGGCATTCTCGGCTTCACCAAAGATGTCATGGTCCAGACAACGCCCGCCCTCGTCACCCAGCTCAGCAAGATCAAGCAGCTTGCCGTTGGCTCCAACCACGTTCTCGCCCTCGACGAGAAGAACAAGGTCTTCGCCTGGGGAGCCGGCCAACAGGGCCAGCTTGGCCGCCGCCTTATCGAGCGCGACGGAAACGGCGGCCTCTACCCCGCCAGCATCGGCACGCTTCCCGGACGCGCCAAGGCCGCCAAGATCGCCTGCGGCTCTTACCACAGCTTCATCATCGACACCAAGGGGCGGGTGATCGCCTGGGGCCTCAACAACTACGCCGAACTCGGAGTCGAGACCGAGGCGGGCACCGACGGCGGCTTCAATCTCAAGCCTCAGCTGGTCGACTCGCTCAAAGAGTACAATATTGTCGACATCGCCGGCGGCGAGCACCATTCGCTCGCGGCCAACGACAAGGGCGAGCTGCTCACATGGGGCCGCATTGACGGGCACCAGGTCGGCCACCCCTCCGGCTCGTTTACCGAGGAGAACACCATCTTCGACGAGAAGGACAAGCCCAGAATCCTGGTCCAGCCCGCTGTTGTCCCCGAGATCGAGGGCAAGATCGTCCATGTTGCTGCTGGCACCGACCACAGCTTCGCCATCACCGAGGACGGAAAGGTCTACTCGTGGGGCTTCTCAGCCAACTACCAGACTGGTCAAGGTACGACGGACGATATTGAGACTCCCACGCTCATCGACAACTCGGCTATTCGCGATCGCAAGATCATCTTTGCTGGCGCTGGTGGCCAGTACTCTATTCTTGGCGCTGAGCCTAAGGAATAGAGAGAGGAGAAGCGAACTGAACTACGACGGGTCAATCATGGATGAACGAGTTGGAAGTGTAAGGAGACACAAAACAACAAAGAGAGCTTGGAACAGCCTTGGAAGAGCTAGGAGATGGCGTTCGCAATATGTTAAGCGAAACCAGTGGTTTCAAAGTCATGAGCAGAATACGTATCTTGTTCGTCTTTTTTTTCGGCACTGTTCGGTCTACTGGTCACTGTCGCTGTCTTTGGATTACGTAAGGTCTTCTGGTGTTCGGTGGAACTCACAGGAAAAGAAAAAGCAAGCGGCATTGAGCATATTTGTTGTTGGTTGTTGGTTGTTGGTTGTTTCTTTGCCAACCTTGGTAGACAAACTCAAAGAGAGAGAGAGAAGAGAGAGTACATGGCAGTGTTGCTATTATAACTAAGTACTGAGGGCGTTCCGGGAGGGAGGTAGGGAGGGAGTAGGGGGCGCTCGGCATTTTTTTTATCTTGTTTTTACTGTTTCTTTTTGCGTGTTACCTTTACACATTTTTCCATCTGGCCTGGTCTTTTGCCAGCAGCGTTTTTGTGCTGTTTCTCATTATGCTTGAGAGCTTCAGTTATTGCAACGGATGATTGAATGGAATGAAAGTGAAATGGATCTAGGGATCTAATAGATATTATGATGATCAAAACACGACTAACTCGCTCTTTTTTTGCATTATGTTCGGTTTCGTGGTTCATGCCTGTTTGTTTCTGCTTGTTCTCGCACGACAGACAATATTGCTTTTCTCTTCATAGCTTTTAGCGAATGCGTTCAACATGAGAAGTTTTAGTCCGTCTACCTAGGTATACTACAAGATCTTCTGCAAGAGTCAGGTCAACCACTACATCCCTATCATCGTTCAGACCGTCTCGTCTATCCTGTTCCCAGCCAACACACCATACCATACCATAAACCGAAAAGACAACAGTTACAGTAGTAGTGTTAATGGTTCGTTTTCTTTTTGCACATCTATAGGATACCCCCGTAGTAAGTACAACCATACACCATCCATCCAGTCAGCCCACCCAATCCAGCCCACCCAAAAATAACCACCCATCATTAGATTAGGTACCTAACATCTGCCTCCCCCCCTTCCCTATCCCATTAACCCACGATTCATTACCACTTTTTTCTCTCTCTTTCACATCCCCAGTCTCGCTTCTCACAATGCCGAAGCCGGAGCAATCTTAGCACCAGCAAGCGACCCGCTCCCCTTGCTACTAAACACGCTCATGATGCCGAACCCCACATAAAACAGGGCAAGCGGGTACGCCACCAGCGCGCGCATGCTCCTCATCCTCGACACGGTGCAAAAGATGCCGCTAGCTGAATACGTCGACCACAGAATAGCCATGCTCGTCAAGACGATTCCCAGGGGAGTATCCATGGGCATCGCGATCCCGACAAGACTGGTCATCACCAGGGGCAGGAGACAGTACCCCAAGACAGAAGCGGAGCGGGCGAAAGTTAAAGTGGAAGGACCGGTGTTGTGGTCGTGGTCGGCGGCGGACATGGATGAGGAGGAGACCGAGGTTGCGGAGGGGCCAGGGTAGGCCGAGTAGCCGCCTGCTTGTGGGCCCCCTGGGACGCCGCCGGGGACGGCACCGGGGCCCGAGGGGCCACCAGAGGAGGAGGAGGGGGCCATTAGCGAGAGGATGACGTGCAAGCTGATGGAACCGAAGAGGGCCAGGCCGTAGATGTAGCCGAAGTGGACGCGGCCGGACAGGAGCAGAAAGGTGCCCATGAGGAAGAAGAAGAGGACGGGGCCGGCCATGTCCGAGTCGTCCATTAGATGTTGGTCGATGCGGCCGAAGGGGTTGAGGACTGCTAGGGTCTGTTTTTGTTGTTGTGTTAGTTTGGCTGGTTCCTTGTCCTTCTACAGAGCTGGCTGGCTCTTGCAAATGAGAGAGAGAGGGAAAAGAAGCTTCACTTGCCTTTGACTGAATATGCCCAAAGTTAACACCCAGCTCCTCCAACAGCGGAGGCTCGCCCTCGTACCCTTCCGTCGAAAAGGCCGCCAGCCATCCGGTCCTCAGTCCTCCCTGCTCGCCCATGCGACCCGAAACACCGACGCCAGCCGCGCCGCCGCCGAAGCCCGAGGAGAAGCCGCCAACGCCGCCGGTTCCTACGCCATAGCCGCCACCGCCAGACGAAGAGGGCCCGCCGTAGCCGTATGCTGCTTGTGAGGGTGTCGCGTGGCCGGACACGGGCTGTGTGTATGAGGAGGGGTAGAACTGCAGGTTCTGGGCGTTGGGAGGGGCGTAGCCTCCCTGGTTTGGCGGTGCGCCGTAGTATTGCGACATGATTGCTTATGCGGTAATGGTGTTGTTCGCCGCTCGTAAGTGAGGGAGTGTGGTTGTTGTGGTTGTAGAAGTTGTCGTAGTCGTTGTCGTTTCCCCGATCGTCAACAGGGGGGATTTGGAGGTCCAGGGGGCTGATTGATGCTAACAGGTAGCTGACGTAGGCGCAAACTGTCAAGAGCTGCACTTGAGCGTTGTTGCCAATGCGCGTTCGAGGGTTGGAAAACCGCCGGGTCGGTACCGATGATTGAAGCTCGATCTGATGCCGATGAGTATCGCTGATGAACGAACGTGGTGATGGTAAAAGTCCACGGCAGATCAGTCGAAAGAGTGGTGATGATATTGCTTTTCCTTTTCAGATGTCAATTCGTGTCAAGTCGTGGTGGAAGCTTCCCTCCCATCTTTGAAACGGTTGGCGGCCAGCTGCTCGGGCCACTTGTGCTTCAGTGCTGTTCCTTACTGCAGTGTTCAACCGCTGTGGTTCAGTGGTCCAGGCCCTGTGAGTATGTGGATTGTTGCCTCAGGCGTCATCCCGTCCAGTCTTAAGTCGTCACACCCCGTTGCAGCGTGCAGCAGCAGCCCATGTGGATGTCATCGACAAGCAAGCACTTTGGCTGGGCAGGCAACAGGTACGTACCCCTTCTACCTTGACGGGCTGCCGGAAAGATGCCAAGACCTTGCCGAAGGAATTTCCGGCAATCGGCGGTCCCGGCCAATCTTTTGTCGGCTCAATTTTTTGAAGAAGGTTCCTGGCGCGGCGCCGTCGTTATCGGCCTGTGGACGGTTCGTTATCCATCGATTGATCTCCATCTCCATCCCCCCCCCCCCCCCCCAAAGTACCTCCCGTCTGCATCCGCAACCACGCAGACAGAACACCCATCTGCCAGCCCTACAGGCCCGCCCTCCTCCTAAACAACCGAACCCGGTCCCATTGCTAGCCACCACTTCGGCGGCCAGCTTTCCTCCTTCATATAGTCACAATGGTATGTTTACTTTTTGTTGTTAAACAAAGTTGCGCCACCCTGTACAGTGTTCGGTTGTCATGCGCAACTCTTCGCCTCCGAGTTTCCGGACTTGACTTGACTTGACTTGACTTGACTATAGCCACATACATGCTCACTCAAAACGCCATCATGACTAACAAAACCCTCTCTTCCTGTTTCTCTAGGCCTACCGTCTCATCACCCAAGTAGTCGTCGTCGGCTCGCGCGTGCTCGGCCGCGCCTTCGCTGAGGCCTACAAGCAAGCGGCCGCCTCCTCGCAGTACCAGCGCGCCCAGCAAAAGAACGGCAACGCCGCCGCGGGGCGCGCCAGCCTGACCAGCGGCATGACCCTCGACGAGGCGTGCAAGATCCTGGACGTCAGCAAGCCCGCCGACGGCGCCTCGGCCGACATGGAGCAGGTTATGGAGCGGTTCAAGCGCCTGTTCGACGTCAACGACCCGGAGAAGGGCGGCTCCTTCTACCTGCAGAGCAAGATCGTGCGGGCGCGCGAGCGCCTCGAGGCCGAGATCCGCCCCAAGATGGAGCAGAAGCAGGCCGAGGAGGAGGTCAAGGAGGGGTGGAACCCCAAGATTTACAAGGACCAATGATCATCACGACACTATGACACACACGTCTTGAAAACGGAGAATGAGAATCTCTTCCGAGAAGAAAGGCGGCGGCGACGACGGTGGTGGCTTGGTTGATGTCGGGGGTTGGAGAGAGAAACTGGGCACGGTCGCGGCATGCGCATACACACGCAGCGGCAGCGGAAGCGGAAGTTGATGGAAGGGGAAGCCCATGGCTGGCTGTCCCGTTGAAACTTGGCCGAAATCGATTGTTGCGTTTCCCCCACTTTATACGATGATACGACTCAAAGGCGACAAAGAGAGAGAGCGAAACTCGACGAGCAACAAACGGTAGTTATCCGTCTTTCGTTCCCTCCATCATCATCCTCCGTTCCGGCCAGTTAGTTCCGCCTTAAGACACGTTCGTTGTTGGGACTGGCAGTACCCCTACATTGTCAGGGGATGGGTGGCTCTTCTGTCATCATGTCTGCCATCCATCCCAGTTGACGTGAACAACCAGTCAGTCGCAGTCACAGCCACGCCCACTCGACTCGACCGCACCACTCACTCTCCAGCCAACAGCCCCGACTTGTACAAAAAAACACAGACACATAAAACAAAATCACTCTTCACTCGACTTCGGCAGGCCTGGCGTTCGCGGTTAGGAAGGGGGTATATACAGGATGGATGGATGGTTGTTGGTTTCTGCATATTGTTAGCGAGAGAGAAAATTCGGTCCTTCGACGTGTAATTCTATATCACATTTGTACAAAATATATGGGGCAGATGGAGTATTTGCTGTGAAGCTTCTGTCGTTGTTCTTAAAACAACATGTTTTGATTATACGGTGAGTGACATTAGCTGTGAGAGCTAAAAGGTGACAAGGTAAGTATCCCTTCGATGATGGACATTCTGAAATGGCTTCTAGCATATATTTCCACGTGTACTTCTATCACTTTTTTACGAAAATACATGGGGCGGAGTATTTGCTGTGAGCTTCCTTCTGCCGTTGTTCTCAAGACAGTGAGACTCAGGGTGACAAGGTATCCCTTTGATGGATACATTATGAAATGGCTCTTACCTAGCACAGGTATCCGATGGAATTGATGCCACCTCAGCCAAATAACAAATAACAACCTACCTACCTACCTACTTCTGGGAGTTGATAGACAAATAGACGCTTTCTAGTTCGGGGGAAACAACGGTGGTTCTTGCCGTACTTTAGGTCACGGACTCCTCACGGACTCACGGTGCTTACCCAGGTTCTATTGAGAGGGACGTTTGTGTATAAGTTGCGTAAAGAAGTGCTAGTTATAGGCACAGTACCTGAGAGAACCAAGGCTGTATCTCAGAAGAAAAAAGGTATTTCTTGCTTGATCTAACAAACTACCTAAGCTACGTATTTACGAGCGAGCTACCTACCTAGATAAGATACAGTTCATTCGCTTTCTCCATCGCTCCATCACTTCCTCCTCTCTTCTTCAAGATAGGTATCGTCGGCTGAACATGAAGGAAACATAAACAAAGTCAATGCATAGGTAGGTAGGTACCAAATAACATCAGTGGTTTGCCAGAGTACCATGAAGATGACTTGATTGCATCACTACCTACCTCACCATTAGATGCATGTGCACAGAAAGTTACTAGCTGGGTGGTTTTCTATGTAGTTTTCTATTTTCTTCTTTGGCGCGTAGACTACATATTTCCCGGTTTGAAACCTTAGGAGTCAAGTGCCCAACCGCTGCTCCTTTTATGACTACCTTACTGAGTCATCTCCTTCTCTTGGTCGTCCTAAGACGGAGCCAGACGAAGGGCGAAAATCACTAACTGGAAAAGGATCGTATGAAAATCGCACTGAACTAGCTACACCGGTGTGACCGGGTATTTCTGACGAGGAACCAGCCCATGGTGTGGCTTTACAAGGTCTGCTCGAACGGCTGAACTTCTCTCTCCATATATATATGTACCTGAAAAATACCAAAAGGTATCCAGTGTGGTTACAATTCTCCAACCGTATCGCTCGCTCGCTTGTTATATCATAACGCTCATGTAGCGACCATCTCTATACCAGGTTTCGCTGATCGTTCCCAAAGAAGTCTTCGTGACAAAAAAAGCAAAATAAAATCTCGAGAGAACAAGAAGGCAACAATGTGGCCTCTGTAATGGACTTGAGAGTTGTCCCATCACGACTGACAACAATCCCTGAGTAAGAGCGTCGCGCTGTCTTCATAGAGTGGTGTAATGTGTACCTGAGCAAGAAGCTGGGTTGCGATTAACCATCGCTCCAGTATCCGGGGTATGGAACACGGCTGGTGCCATCCGGTGCAGTCTCCACGATGGTAGGCACCGACTGAACGCGTTCCGTCTCGGGAGTTCTACCACGCTCGGGAGTACTGGCGGGTGTGTCGGGAAACTGCGTAGCTGTCATCTCAGGTGAGTCTAGCTTGTGTTTCTTGAAGGGTCGGGGATCATCCGCAAGAGACTCATGAGATGACTTGGAAGGAGGGGTCATCTCGCCAGGAGGAGACATCTCATAAATCTCTGTGCTTTGGGCGGAAACCTGGGCGGGCTTGGGAGTCGAAATCGAAATAGGAATGCCAGTAGTGACGCTCTTCTAGACCTTCTTCTTGATCAATCCCTTCCAGTAGTCGAACCCGTTCTCGTCACTCCGCAACTGGAACATTGTGCCTGTTCCTTTCCACGAGTTCAGCTCGATGCCGTCCTCCATAACCTCCTCGGCTACCAAGAGGCCCTGGTCTTTGGTGATTCCCAGCACACGAGCCTTGACGCCGTCTTCGTCTTGGAGGGTAACGATCTGGTTGGTGTGCAGCCAGTGTTTGTAGTACAAGGCTTCTAGCTCGTCGGAAAATCCCTTACTCAGGAAGTGGTCGTAGAGGATCTCGAGCCAAGTGACAATCCGGGCTACTAAGCGTTCGATATGGAACGGCTGCGGAGGTGGCTTATCACCTCCTAGCTTGCTAGCAGTCCACTTAAGAAGAGCATCGAGACTGGTCGTGGGTTCCGCGTTGTTTGTGTTGATGCCAATGCCGACGATGATCTGGTAGTTGGGAGAACTATACGAACAGTTGGCGAGGATGCCGCCAACCTTGACGTAGGCTGGTTCGTCAGGCTTGCTCGGATCCCGCACGTAGATGTCGTTGGGCCATTTAATCTTGACGTCCAATTTTTGGTAAATGCTATCCGTGGAATCATACCCCTTGATCGCCTCGACAATAGCAACCGCCGCCAGGTAGTTGATGAAAGCTAAGGGGCGCATGCCCATGACGCTCGCTGGGTGGTTGATGACCGTTGACATTATCAAGCAGCCGGGAGGAGAGACCCAGACGTTGGTGCCCCGGCCACGGCCCGCCACCTGACGAGTGGCGGTAAAGGTAAAGCCTGACTCTAGTCTGGCCATGAGGTGAGGGTTGCTGCAGCACAAGATCAGTATCTGGTCATGTGTCAAGAAGTGTATCTCCTCTTACCTCGCGAGCAAAGTATTGGTGCTTGTGACAGTTTCCCCATACATCACGTGGTTGCCCCAGGTCAGCTTAGGACAACGTGAGGTCCCCAATGCATTCTTGCCCGTCTTAATGGTACGGGTCGACTCAAGCATTCGATATTCATCCATGGCGGCAAAGTAGAGGTCGTAGTCAAACCGTGACTCGTCCACCCCCGAGCCTGCTACGTTAAAGACGACATTGACTCGGTAAATAGGTTTGCCAAACTGTCGAGGCTCGTAGTTGGTTGACCATGAGCCGTCGTTAGTCCACTCGATATGGAAAACATCCAGATTAAACCTATCCTCGAGCCAGTAGCTCCCATCGGCTGCGACCGCCGCAAATGTTTTTTGCCCCATGAGGCGGTTTACAAAGGATTCAAAGTGGCCCTCTTGGCAGTAGATATCCAGCTTGTTGGTTGGCCGGTGAATCTCATTCCATGCATCCTTGGAAGGGAGCGACAGTCCCAGCTTGTTGAGGCACGCCGCAAGGAATTCGAGCCGTGCGGTTTCGTCCGCAGTCACTTCCTCAATGAGCTTGTCGTAGCCGGGGATACTAGCTTGTGGCTTCAAGGACGCGCCGGCGAATCTGGAACTTGCGTTAGTAGAGAACTCTTGATGCGTTTCACAATACTTCTATCTTACTCTGGGTGTGGTCCAGTAAGTATGGCTTTGCCATGGCCAGCCTTGCAAAATACCACTGCGGCCCGTTTTTCGCCAGACTTGACATCGATATCGTCTGCGTATTCGGCAAGAACTTCGACCCCGTTTGATGCAAATTTCTCGACGTCGACGAAGACACCGCCTCCATTGTAGTAGGATTTGAAGACATCAGGAGGCGCCTGAGCACCAGAGAAGGCTTCCTTTCTCACCGTGAGCTTGGCAGCCCTCGCGCCGACTTCACGGTGGTACTCGAACCCCTTGAAAGCAGGACCAGCGCAGGTGCCCGGGAAGAAAGCCAGCTCACGCTGGCCCTTCACATCTTGGGCTGGGTCCTCGAGTCCGAACCAGCAAACGGCACTGCCATAATAACCTCCTGCACAGAAGCCCAGGTAAGCTCCTCCGTTGCGGACGTAGTCGATAATGGCACGGTTGCCGGTGCCGTTCAGCTCGCGACAGAAGGGGAGGTCAGCACCACCGGGAAAAACCAACAGGGCACAGGTTGAGGCCCATGGTTCGGTCTTGAGGATGTTTGAGGTGATATATGCAACAGCATACTTGGACCCGACCAGACGTTTAAGTGACTCGGTGCACTGGCGTTGTGATTCGGGTGTTACTCCCGGTCCTGTATAAGACGTTAGCGTTAGTCAAATGAGTCATGAGATCTCAGGAAAAGCTCAGAATACGGGTGACTTTTACCTGCGTAGATCAGGACGTTGAGCACTCGTTGATCAGTCTTGGGAGCGGTGGCCATGGTTGCCGTAAAGACGAGAGGAAACCTTGTCCTTGATTTTGCACCGCTTCTTTTGTCGAAGATGGACGGGTGATGAAGTCGCTTGAGTGTTGATGTTTTGTTGTGATGCTCGAGAGGAGACCTCAGGGTCGCTAGGGGATACTGGCGTGGGGTTTTGGGGTTCCTGCAATGCTGTTTAGTGGGCTGTTTTCAGGGCCACTCGCGCCCTTTTCCTGCACTGCTACTGCCCGTGGCTCCAGCTCTAATCTGAACACGATCTGATCCAAGTGGAAGGTACCTGTACTCACACCAGCGAAGACACAGGTACAGCCAATATTGCGCCAACTCGAGAAATCGAAATCGAAGAAGGAGAAGATATAATAGGCGATCGAAAATGGCTAGCAATGACCATAAGCCCGAGCAAAGACCGGCTGCGAGTGCTGCTGCTGCTGCTTCTGCCAGTCAGCAAGATGACGAGCCGGATGAATGGTAAGAGAATTTGTGTGAGCTGGTTCCTGCCGCTTGGCCCCCCAACACTCAACGAAATAACAAGCAATGGCCGCGGAGTCCGGATGGAAAGTACCGCCTGCAGACACTCCCCCCTCAGTCATTTCCTCCCCGTTGTATCCGGCTCCTTTTTCGAGGCCGTTCCTCTGCAGGTCCGGGCCGTTTCTTCTAATGTTGAGTGGTAAGCTGACATTGACTTTGTCGTGTAGGGACAAGCGAATCTTCAGCACTGGATGTGCCGGTAAGAACTCCTGTTACTGCGCCAAAGTTGCTGCTGGAAACTTGAACATGCTCTAACATTGGATGTTCTTCTCACACACATAGATGAGAATGCCAAGTTGACCGACTGTTACTATGAGAAGAAGGACTGGAGGCTTTGCAAGAACGAGGCAAGTGAATATCTTACCTTTTGAAAGTGTTGAAAGCACCGCTCATTGCTAACCTCAACACATGGATTCCGGGCGCAAACAGATGGAGAGATTTAGGCAGTGCTGGAAGCTCCAGGGCAACGATAAGCGTACAGACACCAAGGATGCATGATCACATAGCAACATTAACTTGTAGAGGTATGGACCAGATCATCCAATAGGTGCCGAAGTGAGAAAATAGAGCAGAACAGTCCCATGAACAAAAAGTAGGCCTATTGTGGATTTTCATATCATGGAAGGGTCGTCCTAGTGGAACTCTGGAAGCCGTGTTGAAAAGCATCAATATCAACTAACAATTATCTCTAACTCGGTTGGCCCAAGCTCCCTCGAGAACTGAAGCCGACTGGGCTTTTGACTTGTGGAAATCTCCGATTCCTTCTCGCTCCTCAGTGCCAAGACTTACTGCAGGGGTCGTCCTTACGTCGTGCCTGCTTTTGCGCCCCGCCGTCGTCCAGTCCACCTTTTTTGCAAGTCGCTTTCAGTTTGTTTACAACCCCCATTTGTTCATTCCCTTCCCCGGAACAAACTACCGCTAACAAACAAGAAAAAAGTCCAAGGCAAGCTGAGGGACCTAACCACTGCCTTTTGTCCAGCACTTCGACCTCAAATCAACCTTTCTCGGCCACTCTTTTTCCCACAACACTTGCGCCAAAGAACAACAACCGCAACTTATCCAAGATGCGCTCCCAAGCTCTCCAGGCCGCCTGCCGGCCTCTACGCTCGCCCTCTTCCACCCTCCAGACTCTCACAGCCTTCCAGTCACGACCCATCACCACTTCCAGTCCCAAATCGGCATTCAGTGCATACACGTCAAAGCCTTCGTCCAGCAACGCATCCACCACTACCGCCAGGAAGCCCGTGACATCCTCCTCATCTTCGTCCACGGGCCCCAAGATCAACGCTCCCTCCGCAAAGCCCTACGCCCCTGCGCAACACCAGCAGCAGCAGCAGGCTTCCGCCATCGACATCGAGGAGACCCCCATCCCCGTCGTCCTCGATCCACAAGCGGCTCAAGTCCCCGGCGCCACCATCGAGGACGTCGACCCCGAGCTTGCGGCGCAAATACCCACTCCCACCAACAGCAACGGCGCCGGCAGCAAAAACAAGGGCGCCTTCACTGCCGCTTTGACGGGCGGTGGTGGCAATGGCAAGGGCAACGGTGCGGCCCCGCAGACGATCGACTGGTCTTCGTCCTACCACGGCTTGTCGACGGAGGCGTTCAGCCCGGAGGTGGCCAAGATTCTGATGCAGCCGCTTGACCCTCTGGACGTGGAGGTTAAGCCTGATGGAATCATCTACCTGCCCGAGATCAAGTACCGGCGCATTCTCAACCAGGCTTTTGGACCCGGAGGATGGGGACTGGCGCCCAGGGGAGAGCTGGTGGTGGGCGAGAAGGTGGTGACGAGGGAGTATGCTTTGATTGTTGGTGGTCGGTGAGTAGTTTTCACCCCCAGTTTCCCTTTTGTTAACCTCCTTTCTTTCTTTTGTCCTATATTTCATGGAGGCGTCATGCATGCTAACAGGCCTACTCCTAAAAGCTTCGTCGCCCAAGCCCGCGGAGAATGCCAATACTTTTCGGAGGAGACAATACCCACGGCCGGCGAGGGCTGCAAGTCCAACGCCCTGCTGCGATGCTGCAAGGACTTGGGCATCGCGTCCGAGCTGTGGGACCCGCGCTTCATCCGCGAGTTCAAGAAGAAGTACGCGCACGAGATCTGGGTGGAGCACATCGTCAACAAGAAGCGCAGGCAGGTGTGGTGCCGCAAGGACGCGGATCCTTGGTATCCTTACCAAGTTGTTAAGAAGACGGCTTGAGTTGGTGGCGGATGTCTGATGGGAAACATGCACTGAGAGGAAAGGAGGGATTGCCAAACCTAACGTTAGTTTGGTCTCTTACTCTCTTAATGAGACAGGGAGACATGGAAGAGAGAGTGCGTAGAGAGAGAGGCAGATGGTTGAACGCTCAGTTTTTGGGGAGGCCACATTGGACATTCATCCACAGAGACACCGCCTTATTTTGAGATGTTGACGTCTGAGTGTTTTCACGGCCGGTGTGTTAGAGTAGAAGAACTTGAAGGAATATCTTGACGGCTTTGCATTGCTGGTTTTGGGGAAAAGATAAACATGCTGGAAAAAAAGCATGGTGGACATGGAAGGAAAATAGCACGCTGTACAATACGTTTAGGGAGTTAATGATTTCATAGAATCCCATCTTTGGGCAAGAGTCCCACATACTCAACTCTGCTGTTCTGGCAAAAAATATATGTGACTTACTGAAGACGGACATAATTAAGTGGAATCAGTTGAAGCAAAGTTGGTAGATGGCCTAAATGGCGTTTCTCAAATTTTATATGCCGCGGGCGAGTCTCGCCTACCCATGATTGCTCATATAGTGTAGCGAACCCAATGGCTCAACTCCATCCCCACCGAAACTTTCTCCAGTCAAGACTTAACTTGAGGTTTTAGTCCAGTCCAGGCTGACTCTATCCTAGGATCACCATATGTGACGGCATCCCCAACCCAGCAGATTTTTATACGTATTTTCCCCCGAGTTTGACTATAGCGCAAAATGGCAGCATAAACTGATGTCCATCGTCGTTGTCGTCTACTACTTCTCAACCCCAGTGCTCTTAGCAGCGGTACCATCTCCACCACCACCGCCGCTGCCCCAACCAAACCAACCGTTGCTTCCCTGAGTATTCGGCGCCGGCCTATGCCTCACCCTCCTGCCATTCTCATCCATAATCTCCTCCTCTCCGCTCTCGGCTTCGAGCTTCTCAAAGTCCGCCTCGGACCGGTTGCGGCTAAGCCCGCCCCCACTCACACTGCTGTGCTCGCTCATAGAGCGCGAGTCCCTACCGCCGCCGCCGCTGCGGGAGTTGGAGCTTTGCCAAGGGTTGCCACCACCAATGCCCGAAGTGAGTCCAACATCGGCGCCGTCGAAGCTCAAGCCCGGCACACCCCTGACACCACCACCACCGGTCTGCTGCTGGTTGTTCAGTTGCGAAGCCTCGCGGTCCAGCGCGTTGAGGACAGTGTTAAGACGCTCGCGCTGGGCTTCGATGAAGGACATGCGGGCGCCCACGCCACGGATGCTATCGGGGATAAGGCTCGAGGCACCTCCGGCTCCGGCTCCGGTGCCTGGGGTGGGGGTTACGTCGCGGTCGTACTGGTTTCCGCCGGATCCGGATCCCTTGCTGGAGTAAGCGTTGCTGGCGGCGCTGACGGCCGAAGACAGGAAGCTGTAAAAGTCAGTGCCGAGGGCGCCGCCCGCGGCGTTGTTAGCACCACCCGGGCGAGCAGCCGGCAGGTTAAACCGGGCGAGGAGCGATTGGGTGTAGGACTGCGCAGAAGTCTGGGAGCTGCTGGCACCATAGGAGGCTGAGGCGGCCTCGGGCGGCGAAGGAGGCATGCCGAGGACTTGGGTCTTGACGTATTCGATGGCTTGCTTGAGGTAGGCGAGGCCGGCGGCCTTGAGACGCTCGTGCGCCGAGGCGATGAAGTCCTCGATCTGGCCCTCGTTCGCCTCTAGCCAGGGGTCGACGTAGGTTTGGTAGATGATGCGGGCGCCCTGGGTTTGGGGAAGGACGAGATAGAGGAGGAAGACGAAGCGGGCGAAGGCGTAGAAGGGGATCCTGGCGCAAGACAGTTGTGTTAGTAAAACAGGGAGACTAGAAGGGACTTGCTTTGCAGTGACTTACCAGACGAGGAACCAACCAATCCACGACTCAACGAGGACAATGAAAGAGATGACGACCCAGTACATCAGCCATGGTGTCAACTGGGCCGGATCGGAGCTCTTGAGAGCTTTGTAACTGGCATAGACGGGGAAGAGGAAGGAGGCGATAGAGCTGTTTCCCGATACACCTTGTGTTAGTTGATGGACATATTAACGGTTGAGATGGCGGGACAGCGCATGGCGAGGAACACAAGCCCGCTGCCCAGCGCAAAGCTGTGTTTGAAGGATTTGACGCACGAGAGGAGGTTGGGCAAGATGTCGAACATGTTGACAGCAGCCTTTGTTCCCGGTGGTACCGGGAAACGTGAAGTCGTAGAGGTACCAGACCGTAGGTTGTTGAGTCGAGTCTCGGGCGAGGATCGTTAGTGTGGTCGAGAAGGTTAGGCTCGATATGCGGTCAAAGGCTTTTGATGTCTTGACGAAACAAACAAAGAGGAGGAAACGAGGGCCGAGAGAAAACGTTGAATTCGAGGTCGGGGTGACCAAGTTGCTCTATTTGGATAATGAGGAAGAAAAGACGAGGTGACCCGGAGAAGCAGGTCTTTGTTGTTGTTGTTGTTGTTGTTTAGAGGTAGCTGCTTCAGATGTTCGTATGATGAATGAGGTAATAGGCTGTGAATAAGCCAACGCAAAGTCTCCATCAGCAGATGTGGAAACCCGACCCCGTTGACGCAAGGCTACCCTTCTCGGCTTCTTAAAAGGCAAGGAGACCACAGGGCGGCACGCACGGTGAGGCACGGGGTCCGCCCTGCTGAGTCTGCTGAGCCAAAGCCTGGGGTAACACCTGGCTGCCGTTTGCTGGATCGGAGTCGTTAAAGCGGAAAATGACCTTTTGGTGCCCAATCGATCGAGAGTTTCAAGACAGGATCTGAAGACAACAGACAAACAGCGAAGCTCCAGGGGTAGCACCGCCAAAGAGTCCCCGAAGGGTTCCCCTCTTCCCCCCCCGCCAGCCTCACGGTAAGGGGCGATAAGACAGCGGGAAGCCCCACCGTTACCCCACACTACACCCTAACCCCGGATTTGCAAGAGTTGACAGCGGACAGCAGACAGGGGGAGCGGGCATTTCAACTTTCCTGTCTCGAACCTCTCTCTCGCAGCCTCTCTTCCACAGTATCAATGTCATCTAACTTTGACCTCAGTTCTCTTGATCTCAAGGCTGTTTATCAACAAGTAGTTGTTTCTCTGTATTGACCTCCTTCTCCAACATTGGTTGTCGCCACCGCAGTGTCTCACCAACAATATCAGAGACACAGAGACACCATAGCCACCACCACTTGAACCGCGGGGGTGGCCACTATGGGATCTCGACGTCCACTTATAGCTTTATTCTCGGAAAGAGGCTTTTCATGGTTGCTCTGAGGGCTCGTTGTCTTGTTTGGCCTGTCCTTGCAAGCCTTGCCGGTCATGAAAGCATCCTGTGGTTCCTGAGCTGCAACCAAGTACATACAACCACCGCCAAGTCTCTAACCTCCTGTCAGGGCACGACATGAGACTCAACATGCCCCTACATATTTTCAGTGATTTGTTCTTCTTTCTCGGTTCATGAACTGGTCTCATGAAGGCCAATCCAATGTCCGGCCGATACTTTTACGAAAACGGCCCAACGATCAAAGGACGGCATTATGGCTCCCTGGCTCCTACCCATCTGTCAGCCGAACTCGAAAACCCGGCGTCACACCGTACTGCCATCCCAGAACATCATATAGCCTCAACACGAGCACCATGTGGCCAGGTTACAGCACATGCACATGAGCCGCGAAGGATGCGGCTCTGCGGCAGGTGTCCGCTTCCAGTCAACGAGGATGACATTGTTTGGAACATGGTCTGCTAATGCCGGCTCAACGATACATGGACCCTGAGATCTGCAAGGAGCTTCGACACGAGAAACAGTTACTCAAGTTTCGATACTAAGAAGAGCCCACCATCGAACAATGGCCTTCTTGGACTTCACGGCACGGCATAGAGCAGACCGCCTGCACCGCCGCCATGTTTTCCATGCTGTGAGTGCCGTTTCGGCATTGCTCAAGCTGTGTAACGGGCATGTCTACTGATGCTGTGTAACACCGAACCTTTCAAGTTTACAGGCCGGTCAGAGGAAGGAGGCGGGCAAATATATGGCCGTGGTTTTGCCTCTGTCAATCCAAGTACCGCGATCTACACCCGGTTCCCAAACACAGTTCCTCGTCATCCGTCGCCTACACGTATAAGAGCAGCCAGCATCCAAAAGCCGTCATGTCCTCTTTGGGTTTCCTGCATGTAAAGACACGACGATCATCTTTACGATGCATTCAATGATGGTACAACTTGACACATAGGACAACTCGGTTGACGTCGTGGGAAAGGGGGTTGAATGTCTTTGGAAAACAACCGGCATGGACGGATATTGTCACCCGATCGGCCTCTATTTTCGGTATCTCTGAGCTTCGCACGCCGAAACACAGCAATCAGAAGCCAAGGGGAACTCTCATCACGACATGGCTGTTGTCAGGCAGCAATCGAGTTCTTGCCCCTTTTCGAACTTGAAGTCACCACCAACAAAGGGATTCCCGAGCGAACGATTAGACTTTGAACGCAAGTTGCTCGCCGAGATCTTGGCTTCCTGCTTGGACGCTCCCGATACGACCGAGACTCGACATGAGCATCAACCAAGAAACCTCTTTCTCCACGACTTCAAAATCGTTGAGGTTGGCCAGCTCAGCGGATTGTCCTGTCAGTCACGACTAGTCAGGACCACGAGAAAAGGGGCAAAGTTATGCTTAAATATTTATCCCTCCCACATTCCGGCAATGTCACCATTGGCTGCTTCTTGCTCGGATTTCCCATGACGGGTATAGCGGCCATGTCAGCTAAGATCTTTAGTGTGAGCCAAGTTGGATGTGACATGGAACTGGGGACCAGTCCAGATTTCTGGGTTTGCCTAGGTTACTTTCCAAGCGCAACGGGATCCACGGACGGCAATTGCTTCCAGCCTCAAGAAAATACAGAGCGTACGTAATGGTGTTTGCGATGCCAACCAACCCGGAAAAGGGCAGTACGCCATCACGAACAGAGAACCTCAAGTGAGGTATGCGAAGACGCATTTCCTTCCCCAAGCGGAAAGAAGGTGTGCCATCGAGATTGTTGTTCAACCCCCATGAGTGTTTAAGTGTCAACTCAAGAGGCCTGTGTCAGTTGCGATACCGGGCCAAGGGAACCTCTAATGATACGAACAGAAGTGTTCTAACGATTGTTTTCTTCGATCTCGCCCCTTTTCTCCTTGCTCCATGAAACTATCCCAACCTATCGATTGGTATACTCTACTGGGCTGGTAAGATTCTAGACTGGTGTGCGAGTTTGGGAAGGCCTAGACACCACGAGTTTTGCCTTCCAGCGATGGACACAACTCGAAGCAGTCACATGAGCTTTCCTTTCTCGTCCATAGCGCACCATCAAGACTCAGCATGCTTGGGCAAGCACTCCTGTTTTATCATCCAGGTTCTGCTCTTACAAAGCAATCACAAACAGTCATCCCCGTGAGGCTCCAGCAGAGAGAGCACTGCACTTACCGAGCCAAGCACTGAGGAAGCGCTCCGGACAACCTAAAAGGCTTTCGACAGTGGATTCACCAGCGCGTTAGATCGTTGGCAGTGGAGTTAAACTCCATCTTTACTTTTGTTTTATGGTGATGAAAACGAGGAAACATGGATACCTAGGAAATCCACCCGGCGTCCATGCCGAGCCCCGGTCCGTTGATGAGGAGGATGCGGGGGAGCCAAGCCAAGCGACGCCAAGGTTTCTGGGGAAGCACCAAAATGGAGAGTGACACTCTCCCCAACTTCATCACTTCCACCACCATTCATTTCCATGGCGCTAACCGGAATGGAATAACACTCCCGCAAGCCGGTCGTTAGCTTGTTTCTTTGCCCGGGGCTATTAACGTTTTGGAGAGATCTTCTTTGCGCCCAACTGTTGGAGAAATGCGGAGGATGCCTGGACGTCACCAGCAGCAGATTGACTGGTTTGTGGACATGCTCCGGGGTTCGATCGGTGGGTGGGCCACTGGAGAACGCTGTGGATTTGACACTGGCCCTCCCCATGGGGTAGTGGAATTCACTCCACGGCCCCGTATCATGACACTCAAACATTTCCAATCTCTGGAGAACCCTGACCAAAGTCATAATAACGGCGGCTTCTATTGGCCATGCTTGTCTTCGATGGAGCTTCTCGTTGCATGTCATTAACGGCATTCACTCGAGACACCCTCCTCCAAGATCTCCAACTCGCCTTGGCTTCAATTGCCATGCGGGGGACGGGAAACGAGAACCATGGGTGTAAGCCAAGAAGAAGAACGTTGCGCTTTGTTTGGTCAATCTCACGCTTACACCGAGCTACGACCTGGAATCCGGGACCTGGCAATTGGTGAACAGAGGAGAACGAGAGGGGGCAGAGCCCATCTGCTTCAAGTCCAGCACACCTCGATTCCTTCCGACCATGCGAGGGGGGGCGTTGACTGGATGCAGAGCTACCCATTCGGTTGGTACTCTCGATGAGAATGTACACCACCACTACGATGCCCTGTCGTGTCACCGTGAATGATGATAGGCTTGAGGACCCTGCTGCTTGGCTTCTTGTAGGCACACTTCAAGCTTAACCTGGTCAGCTTGGCACTTATCGACGAAGGATTCCTTTTTCTGACCGCAACAGATAAATCCTTCTTGTTATCCATGCCGGCAGCTCCTACGTGCATCTGACCGACAGGTACATTACGTCGGCCCTTCCCAGCCTCAGCCGCCCTTACATTTTTCTTTATTGTTCATCATCACCTCTCACCCTTCCTCACCACCTTCCTCCTTCTGCAACCTACCACTCGTCTACCACCGACCTCACTCACATAAGGTCGCCGTTGAGTGTCTCATTTTCCATCCATCAGGTTGTCGGTTTTTCATTCCCAACAACAGAACCGGCTTCTCCTCGTCGATATCACATCAGCCACCACAATGGCCGCCGGAGTGCCGGAAACAGTGACCTCGGAAAAGAGGAGGCAGTCTTTGTCCGAGTCAGACACCAAGGAAGGTCATTTCGAAAATGCTCCGGGGGCGCACCTCAGTGCCGAACGGGGCCAGGCCGCAACTGACATGTAAGTCGCTTCCTCTGATGTGGTCAATATCTGATCTTCATTCTCCAGTAGGGAGATTGATGGGCTAACATTCATTCGACAGTCACGGCAATTCCCTCGTTGAAATCGACCCCATCGCCGAGAGAAAGCTCCGACGAAAAATCGATCTCTTTATCGTACCAACAGTTGCGATTCTTTACCTATTCTGCTTCATTGACAGAGCCAATATCGGTGAGCAGCCAGAAAACCCCCCAGAATGATGAAGAGCACCTGGCTTACGATATTGGATACTAGGAAACGCGCGGCTAGACACATTAGAGAAAGATCTCGACCTACATGGATACGACTACAATGCCCTGCTATCGATCTTCTATGTCGGCTACATCCTCTTCGAAATTCCAGCAAACATCTGTTGTAAATGGATGGGCCCAGGATGGTTCCTCCCGATAACCTCGCTTGGTTTCGGAATCATGTCCGTCTGTATGGCCTTCGTCCACAACTTCTCCCAGGCTTGCGGTGTTCGTTTCCTTCTTGGAGTTTTCGAGGCCGGCATGATGCCCGGAATTGCCTACTATCTTTCCCGCTGGTACCGTCGGTCCGAGCTCACTCTACGTCTATCGCTGTACATCGTCATGGCTCCTCTAGCCGGCGCTTTCGGTGGCCTCTTGGCGTCTGGCATTCTCAAGCTCGACCACTTCGGCAGTCTTCATGGATGGAGAATGATCTTCGGCATTGAGGGCATCATCACTGTTGGCCTGTCCCTCATTAGCTTCCTTACCCTCACCGACCACCCCGCAACCGCCAAATGGCTCACCCAGGAGGAGAAGGACCTTGCAATTGCCCGCGTAAAGTCGGAGCGTATCGGCCAGACCGAGATCATCGACAAGATGGACGCCAAGAAGCTCAAGGCCGGCATCTTCAACCCCGTCGTCTTCTTTACCGGCTTTGCCTTCCTCCTCAACAACATCACCGTCCAGGGTCTCGCCTTCTTCGCCCCTACCGTCGTCGCCACCATCCACCCGACCAAGAGCATCATCCAGAAGCAGCTGTTGACCGTCCCGCCCTACATCGTCGGCGCCTTCTTCACCGTTCTCATGCCTCTTATCAGCCGCTTGCTCGACCGCCGCCAGATCGTCATCATTGCCTGCTGCCCGCTTGTCATGGTCGGCTACATCATGTTCCTGGCCACCGAAGATGCCAAGATCCGATACGGCGCCGCTTTCCTCGTCAGCACTTCCATCTTTGCCGGCGGTCCCTTGACCAACTCCCAAGTCCAGCGCCAACGTCGTCTCGGACACTGCAAGGAGTAGCGCTATCGCCTACAATGGTACGCCCACCATATCCCCTTCCCTTCCATTTTTCTCACATGCAGGCAATAAAAGCTAACTCGCCTATGTCACTAGTCATGCTGGGCAACATCGGCGGCCTCATCGCCACCTGGTCCTTCCTCCCCTCCGACGCCCCCAACTACCACATCGGCAACGGCATCAACCTCGCCGCGTCCGGCGGTACTTTGTTGATCGCCCTTTGCCTGCTCATCTGGATGAAGAGAGATAACGCCAAGCGCGACCTGCGCAACGCCGAGGAGGAACTGGCGGGCATGTCGCAGCAGGAGATCCAGGATCTGGATTATAAGCACCCTGGTTTCCGGTGGAAGCCTTAAGGTGCTGGCTGCTTCACAGGAAGGAATTGACTCGGCTTGGTGCATGTTTGCTCATGTTAGATTCCGTTGCACAGGGCTAGAGGTACCTTACCGATATCCGAACCAGAACTGGAGGAGATACATAATTTCTGGAAGGATAGGGATGGATGGATGGATGATGACGATTATGAGATGAATACCCAAGCATGATGAAGTTGCTGTTTTATATTAAGAATATGCCATTTTAATACTGATGCTAACAGTTCAAGCATCTTGTGCTACACATGCCTACTATTTTCACTTCTCTCCCTTTGCCCCAGCCCGAAGCGGAAACTTTCTCGATCCTTTTTTCCCCCAAGGTACTCTGCTGTAGTGGCACTCCGTGAAATAATAACTCCCACCATGATTCGCAGTTTTCTGCACAGCAACGGCACGGGAAGCTCGGAGTTCGGAGGTGCTTTTTGCCAAGTATAAGCGAGATCCTTCTGCTGCATGACACTTTATCGATCTCACCGCAACAGGGGTTTCACGAGTGGTGTTGACCAATGAACATGTCGAGAGACTATCGACGACCGTGGGATGACATGGAGAAGATTCTCGGATGTGATGGAACTTTGGATGCACTACGCGGCACGGGAGGGTATTGCGACATGAGTAGGTAGGTACCTACTGTGGTACAGCTGAAGTTGTGATACCTACCTATGTAGGTGATACAAGGAAGATTCGGGACCCAAAAAAGCCAAAAGGGTGGCATGAGGGGAGCTATCAAAGTGCTGACTGTTCTTTGCGTTACTCGTATCTCGAGGTAGAGATAGCATGTGAAGGATGCACAACAGGTGAGTGAGGTTACATTATTCAGTTGGGCTGTATATCATGTACGGTATCTTTGCTTCAGCCGTCACATCTTTTTTCCTTTTTTTCCTTTTTTATCACGCAGGGAGGGTTCAGTTGTCCTGAGTTGCGAATTCTTTGAGAAACTTCGCGATAGCTGTATGATCGAAAGATAATTTTTATCAATAAGGGAACAGGGCCGTTGGACATCAGCAATTTACCCTGTATGTGGCAGATTCTGTTGCACAGCTTCGTGATTGACGTATAAAACACAGGGACAGTAATCTACCTAGAGGTTGTTAGGTATTGACACCTTCTGTAACATGAAGGACATAAGCACCAAACATTGCAATGTACAACTCCAAATCCCCGCCGTTGAAGTTTACGGCTCTTAGTAACCGAAGACGCATAATGTACTACAAACCTTCCATTGGCATTGTACAGCATGTGCATATTGAAAGTGAGCGACCGATGCCGTGGAACTGCGATTACTCACTTCAATGATACATGTAAGTCCGGGGTAGGTGAGCTTTAGTCAAAACAAGACAGAATGAAACGTTTTGCGATAACCTCGCTGGAGGCCATCCAGTAGCAGACGTAGTACAACGTGTGTGGAAAGACACAGAGATGCATGATATTCAAGTCGTATAGACGCTAGACCAACATGTCCTTTGAATGCACAACGCACGAAGTGTCCCAAGGGATCAGTCATATCGTCGAGCTTGATGACTCAATGAAAATACTGTTTCACGAGAGTGTCCCTTGTGAGCGCAGGTCAGTTCAAGTTCAAAATGGACGTCCTGCAGCGCTGCAGCCATCTCCCAAGCATCTCCCATCAATGGAGTTGACAGGAAATAAAGCAACAACAGTGACTGCATGTCCTTATACTGACCCTTTTCACAGGTAAGAAACAAACAGCAAAAGAATAATTGCATGAGGTGTTGTGAGCGCAAAAAGTGCCAAAAGTCCCAAAAAGAAAAGCCAAAAAAAAGTCGTGGCCCGCCCCTGAGTTGAACCGGGACCTGTCCGCCCCGCTATAGAAAAGAGTCGCAGGAGAAATAACGGTTTGTGCTACCCATTACACCAACGGACCACTGGAAAGGAGCGGTTTGGGATGGGATTATAAGGTCCAGCCCAGTCCGGGTCTGGTTCCTGGTGGCCTGGTAGCCTGTTACCCTGGAGTTCGGGGCCGGCTCGGGGCAGTGGCAGGCAGCAAGGCGGCAGTGGGCGGGTTCGGTCTGTCATCCGATCTTGTCTGGTTGTCCGGTTCAGGTTCGGGTCCAGCGAGGCTGTTGCTTGGTGCGAGGGCAGGCATGTTCGGGAGAAGGAGTGGCAACACTCAGGTTTGTGGGCCTAGGTTTGGGTCCGTCCGAACTCACCTGGAGCATGCAGTGAAAGAGGAAGTGCCGCAAGCTATGGTACTTGTAGCGGTGTATCACGGAATGGGGAAGGCCAGGAGTTGCGAGAAGAACCCTTGGTCTGACTTTTCTTATTCTTTGCCAGCTTGGTTTTGTGTTTCGGAAGGCGCTTTTCGGAAACAAAGGGAACATCGAGAACAACTATGAAAGAAAACATCCCTTGGCCTAACACCGGAAAGGCCATAAATGAGTGTCTCAATGGGATTGTGATATAAAAGAAAATGAACTTGTAGATTATTGGTCATGGTGGTATTCTGCCAGATATTGGTAGGGCTGAAATCCGGGCCGCCTGGCCGGTTTCAGGGGCCGACTGGGCATCCCCAAACACCACGTGTGTCAGGTCCACGGAAGGCGCACGGAAATGTCAACAAGCGCCAGGTGCTCGGGTTATGGCACGTCTCATAGAGTCTACTTGTAGGCGGCATTGACAGTCAAAGCACATCGTTCGCTTGAAGGTGCTCTCACGAGAGGTACGCTGTGTGATTGAAGGGGGAGCATCCTGCTGCAAGCCATCTTATGTTGGAGTGAAAGAGCAGGGGGAGAAAAAGAGGAGAAGAGCAGGGGAGAAAAGAGGAGAAGAGCAGGGGAGAAAAGAGGAGAAGAGCAGGGGAGAAAAGAGGAGAAGAGCAGGAATTCAAACATTAAGAGTGTAGAGAAAGTAAGATACCTATAAATGTTCAAGGCCCATTGTGGTCCTACTCAGGATTCCACGCAGATCCCTCACTCGTCTTTGATCGCTTCCATCACGCTCGTTTCCATCCTGCCTTGCCTACATTCCTCCAGTGCCGGTCACTCCTTGAATTCGGGCACACTCTTTGATCCATCATTGTCAACGTAGACCGCAAAGCAGTAGATCCACGGCAAAAGTGACGCCAAGTCACGCCAAGAATGATTCAACCATCTGCCCTCGTCCTGCTGGCAGTAAGCCTCTTCACCCCAGCAGCATCAGCCCACGGAGAGATCACTTCCCCGCCCGCCCGTCTCCCCGGCCCAGCGATGGCTCAAGCCTGCGGCCAACAAGCCGTCAACGCCGTCCTGGCTGATAGCACCATGCCAATCGAATCTGTTCCCTTTTCGTCGTCCTCCTCTTGTAAGCCACAGCCATCTCTCAGTTCTGGGCACTTACCCTTTTCCCTTCATCATGTTCCAAGCAGTACTGACACCATATCTGACCTTAAAGGCAACCCCTTCCTCTGCCGCGGCGCTCTCTTTGCCGACAACGCCTCCCTCCTCCAACGCTTCACGCCGGGTCAAACGATCCCTTTCAAAGCCTCCATCCCGATCCCGCACGAGGGGCCTTGTAACGTGTCTGTTGTCAACACTCAGACAAACTCGGTCGTTGGACAGCCGTTGCTGGTGTTCGATTCATACGCGGATGAAAGACTCGCGAGGTTGCCGGCGAATAACACTGCTTTCAGCGTCACGCTGCCAACGGATGGGGAGGTGTTGAAAGAGTGTGGGGCCCCGGGAGTTTGTGTTCTGCAATGGTTCTGGTTCGGAGAGGGGGCGAGACAGACGTATGAGAGCTGTGTTGATTTTGTTGTTGAAGTATCGACGGGAGTGCAAGAAGGAGCGGCACAGGGGGGAGGGGAAAAATTGAACAAGTGCGGTCGAGTCGGCAAACGTCGTCAACGGAGGTGAGAGGGTCGCGGTACCTCTACGGAGGGGACAGGCAAAGAAATCAATTTCGATACAGGCTGTTGAACAAGGTTGAGATGAAGTCGTCATCGTGGGATCGAGATTTGGTTGTTTGTTCTTGGGTGTCGTCTTGATACTAACGAGGTAAAGGGGGTTTGAGACTTTGACGCTGGTACAGAGCACAGTCAGTCATGGAACATCTTGAATGGGAAATCTCACATCAGACTCTGCATATGGTATACATAGAATACTCAGGTCATGTTGAAAAGAAGGTGCCTCTTCTGGTGATCAACAACCATTAACCGCGTACTCCATAGTATAATCTCTCTCGCCGTCCTGTTGTCCGAACTCGGCCGTGAACAGGAAACGTCAAAGAGGTGGCCGTTGTCATATGGTATCCAAAGAAGGCCTCCAAAGAGCAACCCGGGCATCGTCGGCATTCGAGGGTCGGGACCCGTGGAGCTCGATCAATTTTGAGATTATAATATTTCTTTACGTCTGCTTATCGGATCTTCTCAATGATATCGCCATGCAGGCATCTCCAAATCCCCTGGGATGGACCCAGATAGTCGTGGAGGTGCGTCCGTTGCAAGCCTTGCATGAGGGTATCCGTCTTCCACGAGGATGGAATAGTTTAAGTCGGAAAGTGGCGTGGGGAACGGGTGGCCCGAGGAAGTTCCCCGAAATGGACATTTTGATGAATTACTATTCCGGATTAGGATGGGTTTGGGCGTTCCTTGCAGTTAAATTCCGAATTGGGGAACCTTTCGACATCGGTTGCAGCATCGTCGCCGTCGTCGGACCGTTGGTTGGAGAAGTTGTCCACTGATAAGATTATCTTGGCGATAGTATCTAGACGAATCTAATGAAACAATTCTTTTAGTGAAGGTGGACTTTCCATCAGCTGTGTGAATCCTAGCCCTCGAAGTTGATGAATGAGTTGGGCAAGGAAGTGGAACGCTCGACAATCTGTTGTTTCCCCTTGATGGCTGAACAAAGGTCACTGGGAGGCGCTGGAGTGATGTGGCATGAGTATACGTGCCTGTAGGACAATCTGAGTCCTCTTCTTCTACGGACTCAGTATCCATGACTGGCAAAGAAGTCCATATTGAGACAATGGGTCGGAGTGTCCAAGGCGTGTCACTTCGAAATTGTTGATGGCTTGTGGAAGTGCAGGTGCAACCAAAATGCGGGGGCTCAGGGGAGTCTCCGCAGGTGGTGCACTAACAGCGCCGGCTGTCTTGGCCCACTCGGGATCTCGGAGAACACTCCTCTGGTTGGTGGTGTCCTAACCTCCAACAATTAACGTCTGTCATCGGCGACATCGTGATTGGCAGAGAGCGGCTTTCGAGGTAGGATTCTTTGTCAATCCATTGACTTTCATGCAACGGGTGCCCCTCTTTGCTGATAGGGCTTATCGTGGACTTATACCAACGACCTTCATCCGCTGGATCGATAAGTTACTATTATTACTAACAGCATAGCTGGTTAGATCCTGCTGATTGCGTTAGTGACTCTGTACCCAGAACCCCGAAGTTCACACCCACCTACCTCCTAGTCGCACCTTATCGTGATGGCCATGGGAAGCAATTGACAAATGACAAGATGCTATGGACTTATCGACTTCGAGATGTGTGCTACCCAGACAGTCTGGGACGAGCTGATAAAGATGAGGGGCAAATCGACAAAAGCAAAGGATACAAGTATATCTGCCATCCCCAGGGACATATACAAGATGACGGGATCCTATTCCCGTTCATCACCAACACTCATATATACCAGCTGAGATCTTCATTGCTTCTCAGCACTCAATATCCAGTTCCTTCAACAACCCTTACCTTTTCTTTACAGTCACAGTTCTGAGCGATATCCACCGAGATGGGCTCCATCGACACCACCCTCCCACACCCCTTCGATCCTCTCTCGCGGGAGGAGATCGAAAACACCATCCTCACAGTCAAGAAGGCCCACGGCGATGTCTACTTTAACGTCGTTTCCCTTCAAGAGCCTCGCAAGGCTGAGATGACAGCATGGCTCGAGGATCCCGTCAACGCTCCCCGACCAAAGCGTCTTGCGGATGTCGTTGTCATTGCTCCTGGTGGCAAGGTGTACGATGGTCTAGTAGATCCGGCCAAGAGCGAGATCCTCTCGTGGGAGTGGGCTGAAGGCCAGCAACCTATTGTAAGTGTCCTTCAGGTAACTTCCAACTTTTCATACCGAAGATGGCTAACATCCAGGTATTAGATCACCATGGAAGAACTCCAACTTGTCGAACACATCGTTCGCAAGGACCCCAAAGTCATCGAGCAGTGCAAGATCAGCGGCATCCCCGAGGAGGACATGAACAAGGTGTATTGCGACCCTTGGACGATCGGCTACGACGAGCGTTTCGGCAGCAATGTACGATTGCAGCAAGCGCTCATGTACTACCGCCCCGAGCTCGACAACTGCCAGTACCAGTATCCTCTCGACTTCTGCCCCATCTACAATGCCGACAAGCAGGAGATCATTGCCATTGATATTCCCAAGATCCGCCGCCCACTCAGCAAAGCTCCCGCGTTCGACTACCACCCGGCTGCCATTGAGGCGAGGGGCGGTTTCCGGGACAACTTGAAGCCCATCAACATCACCCAGCCCGAAGGTGTCTCCTTCAAGCTCAGCGGCAGGGAGATCGAGTGGCAGAACTGGAAGTTCCACATCGGATTCAACTACCGCGAGGGTATCGTGCTCAACGACATCACCTTCAACGACCAGGGCAATGTCAGGCCCATCTTCTACCGCCTCTCTCTCGCTGAGATGGTGGTGCCCTACGGAAACCCCGAGCACCCTCATCAGCGGAAGCACGCCCTGGACCAGGGCGAGTACGGCGCCGGCTACATGACCAACAGCCTCTCGCTCGGCTGTGACTGCAAGGGCTCGATCCACTACCTCGACGCCGAGTTCCCCACGCGCGTGGGCGGCGTCCGCAAGATCAAGAACGCCATCTGCATCCACGAGGAGGACGCTGGCATCCTGTTTAAGCACACCGATTTCCGCGACGACTCGGTCATCGTCACGCGCGGCCGCAAGCTCATCGTCCAGCAGATCTTCACGGCCGCCAACTACGAGTACGTCGTGGCCTGGACCTTCCACCAGGACGGCACCATCCAGCCCGAGATCAAGCTGACGGGCATCCTCAACACGTACGCCATGGATCCCGACGAGGACACGCACGGCTGGGGCACCCAGGTGTACACGGGCGTCAACGCGCACAACCACCAGCACTTGTTCTCCCTGCGCATCGACGCCAACGTCGACGGTCCCAACAACACCGTGTACGTAACGGATGCTGTGCCCGGAGAAGCCCCCGTCGGCAGCAAGGAGAACTTTTATGGTAACGCTTTCTACAACAAGCGCACCAAGCTGGCGACCACGGGCGAGGCTAAGACCGATTACATCGCCCAGACTTCGCGCACCTGGGAGATCTGCAACCCCAATAAGCTGAACCCGTACAGCAAAAAGCCGGTCAGCTACAAGCTCGTCAGCCGCGAGGTGCCGCCTCTGTTGCCGAAGGAGGGTTCCCTGGTCTGGAAGCGTGCTGCTTTTGCTAGACATTCGGTTCATGTTACCAAGTGTAAGTCTTTCTTTTACCCCTATTCCCCTCCTCCCCTTACTCCCCCCTTATTCCCCCTTAGGTTCCCAGCCCTCCTCTCGATAAGAACCCACCAACTGACCATCTGCCCCCCCATGCAACAGACCGCGGACGACCAACTCTGGCCCTCCGGCCGACAGTCCCGTAAACCTCCGGCAGCCCTCGCGGGGGTTTTACCCAGTGGATTGGCACGGCACCGAGTCCATCGACAACA